GCATGATCATGCAAGAGGTGGTTCCCCAAGTGTGATGGTCTTCCCAGGGATGAGTGATATGGATGTATTCCTGGAGTGGACGGTGGGCAAAGGGGAAATCAGTTGGGAAAGGCAGGTGGGGGCCAGGTGGTAAAGAGCTTTAAACGCTAGGCTACCGCTTCAGTGTCTAAACTGTAGGCAGAGGGGATTCAAGGAGTTTATTGGTAGTTCTTACTTTTAATGATGATAAAAGTTTCCTATATACATTTTTTAAAGTAGAAGTGCCAACACCAAGGCCCCACCACACACTTATGAAATCAGAATTCCTGAAACAGAGTCACCGGCTTATGTTCAGTGAAAGAATTCTGCAGGCCATTCTGACAGAGACCAAAAGTTGAAACCTGCTAACACAGAGCCTGTAAAGATTATATTCTCAAAAGCTGGCACAGGGCAATGTGTGATTGAGTAAATTAATACTTTATGGGCAAAAATAACCCTATGAATTGTATATATAGTTTATGGAAACCAAATGTCTAATAACACTATAGAATTCATTGATAGCACATAGTAAATGCTCAATAAATACTTAACCTGGCATACCACGAGTAGCTTCTATGGCAGAGTAAGAAGAAAGGAAACTAGGATTAGTTGGGTGCCTGCACATGTCAGGTAATTTACAAGTAGTTCATTTAGTACTAATAAGAGCCCTATGAGGGGAATATTATTATTCTCATTTTAGGGGTAAAGTCAATACTCCTACATGTTGCAAATGCAGTAAGTCACAGAGTGGCATTCAAACATAGGTCCCAGGCTCCAAACCACTACATTTCCCCTTCTATCAAACAACTTAGTTAAGTTTCAAGGGAAAAATGTTTCAAGGGAACAAATATTGTATCATAAACACTCTCCTCTCATCCTCCTTTCCCTCCTCCAGTGAAACCTAAATTTTACCTTTCCTCTGCCCTCAAACTGAGCCAAAATCACTGAGAACCATCTTTTCAAGTTTTTCAAAGCAAGCTACTCCTTTCTTTTTCTCCCACTCTTTCCTCTCTAACATCTTCTAATCCACGCTACTAAGTTTTGAAATTCCTTATTCAGAGAACACAAAATGGAACCTGAAATCTTATTTCCTTTTGTGGTTTTCTTTTTATCCAAGGGCTGACGTGGGGTGGCAGCAGAAAGGATTTTGTTCTTAGTAGGATTACCCAAAATCCAAAGGAAATGATGTCGGTGCTCTGTTTAGTGCTGGGAAATAATTTGTTATTTTAACGTAGGCAGGTTCCTCATTCTGTTTTTGAAAGTCATACTCTACTGGTAAAATTTTAGTCACTATATGAAGTCTGTCTGTAAAAAGTCTAGACATTGTTAAAATAGCGAGAATGGCTTGCACAACATCTATGTAACTTGGCAGCCAAGGAGACTGGACGAAAATGTGCATGCATGAACAATGACGACTTCACTGTACTAGTCAGTGGGGGCAGTAGATGACTTTGAGTGGGCATGTGTACTGTGTGGCTGTTGTATAATGTCTGAGCAAGTAGAACAATGAATCTGTATCAAATTTTGCATTAAGCTTTAACATTTCTCTGTGGAAACTATTTGGATGATTCAGAAGGCCACAGGTATGGACAACTGGTGTGGGCAGCTTCATCACAACAATGTGCCTGTTCATCATCACATGGAGTGAATTTTTTGGTGAAACATCAAATCACTTGGGTGACTCAGCGCCCCCTATAGCCCAGATTTGGCAACCCTGCAACTTCAGGCTTTTTCCAAAACTAAAAAACCACCTTTGAAAGGAAACAGATTTTAGACCATCAATGAGATTCAGGAAAATATGACAAGGCAGCTGACAGTGATTGGGAGGACCATGTGAAGTCCCAAGTTGCCTACTTTGAAGGGGACTGAGACATCATTGTCCTGTGTACAATGTTTCTTGTATCTTCTTGAGTAAACATCTCCATTTTTCATAGTGCATGGCTGGATACTTTCTGTACAGGCCTAGTATATGTGTATGTGTATGTGTATGTGTGTGTCTGCAAGAGATACTTACCATCTTTCCTTAAATTAGCACTCTCCATCTGCATGTAAGATTCTCACCTTTCAATGTCTCCTGTTTTTTTTTCCCAAAAAGGTATTAGATTTTTCAGATTGAATGCTCTATTTACTTGGCTTGCTGTATTTTTTAAAGTATATTTTATTGATCATGCTATTACAGATGTCCCATTTTTTTCTCCCCTTTATTCTCCTCCACCCTGCACCCCCCTCTGACCAGCATTCCCCCCTTTAATTCATGTCCATGGGTCATACATATAAGTTCTCTCCATTGCCTATACTATTCTTACCTATCTCCGTCTATTTTGTACCTACCATGCTTCTTATTCCCTGTACATTTTTTTTATTCTCCCCTCTCCCCTCCCCCCTGATAACCCTACATGTGATCTCCATTTCTGTGATTCTGTCCCTGTTCCAGTTGTTTGCTTAGTTTGTTTTTGTTTTTGTTTTTAGGTTCAATTGTTGATAGTTGTGAGTTTATTGTCATTTTACTGTTCATAGTTTTGATCTTCTTCTTTTTCTTAGTTAATTCCCTTTAACGTTTCATACATATAATAAAGGCTTGGTGATGAAGAACTCCTTTAACTTTACCTTATCTGGGAAGCACTTTATCTGCCCTTCCACTCTAAATGATAGCTTTGCTGGATAGAGTAATCTTGGATATAAGTCCTTGCTTTTCATGACTTTGAAAACTTCTTGCCAGCCCCTTCTTGCAAGGTTTCTTTTGAGAACTCAGCTGATAGTCTTAATGGGAACTCCTTTGTAGGGAACTGTCTCCTTTTCTCTTGCTGCTTTGAAGATTCTCTCCTTATCTTTCATCTTGGGTAATGTACTTATGATGTATGCTTCCTTGGGTCCAACTTCTTTGGGACTCTCTGAGCTACCTGGACTTCCTGGAAGCCTATTTCCTTGGCCAGACTAGGGAAGTTCTCCTTCATTATTTTTTCAAATAAGTTTTCAATTTCTTGCTCTTCCTCTTCTCCTTCTGGCACCCCTATGATTCAGATGTTGGAATGTTTAAAGTTGCCCCAGAAGTTTCTAAGCTTCTCCTCATTTTTTTGAATTCTTGTTTCTTCATTCTGTTCTGGTTGAATGTTTATTTCTTCTTTCTGCTCCAAATTGTTGATTTGAGTCCTGGTTTTCTTCCCTTCACTGTTGGTTCCCTATATATTTTTCTTTATTTCACCTTGCCTAACCTTCACTTTTTCCTCTATTTTGCGACCATACTCAACCATTTCTATGAGCATCCTGATGACCAGTGTTCTGAACTGTGCATCTGATAGGTTGGCTATCTCTTCATCGCTTAGTTGTATTTTTCCTGGAGTTTTGATCTGTTCTTCCATTTGGGCCATATTTCTTTGTCTTGGTGCTCCTGTTACATTGCAAAGGGCAGAGCCTTAGGTATTCACCAGGGTTGGGCAACCCAGGTGGCTGTGTTGTGGCACTGTATGTGGGGTAGGGGTCAGAGAGGGGAAAATGCTGCTTGCTCAGCTCTTGCCCAGCTTTCTGTCACTTCCCCCACTACTCACAAGCAAACTGGGTGCTTCTAGCACTGATTCCTGGGTGAGTGTGTATGCGTATATTCTTGAGACCCTGTGGATCTCTCCAAGGAACTCTCCTGTGAGGCCAGGAGTTTCTCCCCCTGCTGCAATCCCCACAGGTTTTTACCACCAGAGGTTCTGAGGCTTTCTTTTTCTGCACTAGAACCCTGGTTTGCGCAGCCTGTGTCATTCCCCAGTTGTTCCTGGTTTATCCACATGGAAATGTGGGACTGCCAGGTGCACCAGCTGCCGCCTCACACACCTAGCCCTCCAGCTGCCGCCTTGCTGCACTGTCCTCTCTGCTCAGGCTGCCCATTGCTGCCCCTCCTACTAGTCTGGATGAATATTTCTTCTTTAATTCCTTGGTTGTCAGACTTCCATACAATTTCCTGGCAGTTCTGGGTGGTTTTTTTTTAAAATTTGTTGTTGTACTTCCTTTGGTTGTGCGAAGAGGCAAAGTGTATCTACCTATGCCTCCACCTTGGCTGGAAGTCTCCTGGCTTGCTGTTAAATGCATGATGTCAAAAGATATTTTTTTCTTTATATATACTTTCTTTATTTTTCCACAAGTAATTATATTACAATTTATTTTCCCCCAATCTAAATTGGAATTATGGGTAAATGCCAAACAGCCTTTCTTATTGGTTTGGAATGATCTTCATATGAAACTGTTTGTTTATTCTTTCATCCACATTACTGAACAAAATGCCTGTCACTCTGGGGCTCAAACCTATGTGGAGTTACCAGTTACTATGCCTGAGAAGGCCTGAGCCAAAGAGGTTCAGGTATAACATCTAGACCTACACTCTAAATAACCATTTTACAAAGCGACCCTTTCATTCCACTAGGAATAATTAATTGCTTGTGTTAGGAAGTCATAACACTTTGAATTCCCTGCAGACCACTGTGTACAAATATTCAGACTATGTAATGAAAATCCCAAGAAGTGACAGTCACCTAGACTACAATGTGAACTGTGCTTCCTGGAGTTGAGCAGGGCACATCCCACTCAACCGCACATAGTAGCACCCAGTAGGAAACTTATTTTTCCCTAATGTAAGTAGTCTTCTGTATCCTTAATAGTTAATGGCCATTTCTGGACTCTTTTGCTTACCTGAACATAGTAATCAAGGTCCCATAGATTTAAAATTAGTGATATAGGCTTATGGTTTACCTTTATTTTCCCCACATTTTTGTTATTCCCTAGAACAGACTGACTTTGTTTAAAAAAAAACAAAACACCAGAGTCATTGGGATAACATGAGAGATTAGAAATGGTATTATCCTCAGTAAATGAAAGTGGGTTGCAATGAAGGAGAGTCATTAAGAGGAGGCAAAACATTTGAGTCATCACACCAAAAAGACACTAAACACAGTCATGTTTATTTCAAAACATAAAGTGGACTCCATATTAATAAATACATTTAACATTGAGTGTAGAAAAACTACTGTGAATGTTCTAAGAAAACAGTTTACTACAGAATCAGGAAAAGGTACTCTTTTATCTGTAGGCCATTGATAAAACAATGGGAGTTGGAAGAGACTCATGGATATTACGTGAAATTGGAGGAGGAAAGAGAGCTGAAAAATCAGGAAGAATTTTCTACTTTTCTTTCCTTACTAGGGACTTAAAATTAAAAATCTGAAATTGGGAAATACACCTTCACACACATCCCTGGTGTACTCCTCAGTTTTGGATTAGAATCACTGGTTAGTGGACATGATCAAAAATTGGAAACAGTTACCCGATTTGAATTTAGGTCAGATTACTTTGGTTGAAAATGGGTTCATGAGGTTCCCTCACAGCCAAGCAGGAGCTGCTACAGCTTATTCTTAAAGCTCAGGAGCAACCACAGCATCATTAACTGGAGAACTGAAAACACTGAACAATGTTGACAGCTACCTCCACTAGCTCTGTCTAGACTTAGGTGCTTCAGTGCTGTCTTTGTACAAACCCATCATCCAAGCTGCCTGCCTGTGGTCCAGCCCCTGCACCCTCTGGAGCTTGGACTGGGGGTACACATTAGCCAGGCAGCTGCTCAGGCCCCTCACCCATGGGGAGAATCCATTAGGGGAACCCATATGGCCACTTTTTTTTCTCTCCAAACATTCAAATGCAACATTCTCAAAGACTTGGAGTTCCCCATTCCAATGATAATAAATGATAGAGAAATGTTCCTGAAAGGGACAAAGATAGACCCTTCTCAGAACAGCCTCAAGAGGGAGTAGAATATGCCTGCTCTGAGTGGCTTGAAGGCATGGCAAAGGGCCCGGCTACTCCTGGCTTCCTCAGATCCTTTTCTCAGAAGACATAGTAAGGACATAATAACTTGCCAGGCTATAGTAAGTGAAAGAAGGCTCCAACCTAAAAGCCACCACTGCACTGCTGGCTGTCAGGAAGTTTCTGGGTAGAGGGAGGAAGGAAGACAAGAGATCTCCCTCATTTTGATACAGAATCTTGTGGCCAAGAGCAAGGGGAGGAGGCGCAAAAGAACAAAAGGAGTTTATGCCTCTTTTTCGGAACAATTTTAAAGGGAAGAGTTGTCTCTGGTTCTGGAGGCCAGGATTTAGCCAAGAAGGGACAGCAGCTGGATGACCATGAGTATTAGAATCACAGGGCTGTTGGGTTTTAAGCTTAGGAGGACTTCAAGGATTTGCTTCATTTCCCAGAAGAACCTGAGGTCTGGAAAGATTAAGCTGTGCACCAACCCCACATAGCTTGCTACATCTGCTTGGGGGAAACAGGGAGTGGCAGAGAGACTTCAGTGAGCCATGCAGCGGGGTGCAGGTGAACATCACGTGGTGTGTGGTTAGTTACATTTAGAACCCCCACAGGTGAAAAGTTCCCACCCCTGGGCCCTGTCTTGTTGATCTGTCACTAGAAGTGAATAGATCCTGGACCGAGCTTATCTGTGGGGTTCTCTCAGGAGGGTGATGAGGAGCTGCAGGTGAATCTCACTTCCCAGTCCGGGAGGTCACCTGGATGGCTTTGATCCACTCAGTGCGCTCCTTGGGGGTGGCCGCTTGCAAGAAATAATGAACTTCATCAGCTGTGATGATCTCAAAGAGGTTCTCTTCTTCACTCTTCTTGCCTGGTGAAAGAGAATGTGAATGACAGTGCACGAGGCCACCACAGAAAGGCTGCCTAGTTCACCCTCCTTCTCTAAGGAATGAAGTCCCATTTTTGTTTTAGTGTTCTAAGGAAATCAATTATGTAATTTTCAAACTTACCATCATTGAATGATCATATATATTTATTGTATTTGTATACACACACACACACACACACATAGGTACATAGTGTGATTGTGTATGTGTGTTTAAGAAATAAGTGAAACACTCAAGGAGGAACATTTTCTTTAGAGTTTACAAACTAAATCTCTCATTTTTGCATACCAATAGTGTTCGGTGAGTGACCTCTGATAGTGTCTAATGAGTATTTCCTGTACTCATAACATAAATGAAGGGCTGACCCTAATGTAGTTTTTAAATTTATAAATAAATAAATAGCCAGGCCCACCACCAGTACCAGCAGTATAGCCTGAACTTGTTTTTATCAAAGACTAAGTTAGAGTCTCTGCTAAGAGTGAAGACAATAACCTGGCCAATACTATGACAAGACTTAAAACATCTACCTCAAATCAAAAAGCAGGATGCTCCCAATGCCCAAACTAAAACAGAATTCCATGGGGAGAGAGGAGTGAGCAGATTCAGGAGTAGTAAAAAACAAAAAACAAAACAACAACAACAACAAAAAAACTAGGCATTTGCAGCTGGAGTGTTTTCCCATCAATCTTTATAACATCATAAACCCAAAAGGACAAGGCAAAACCAGGGTTTGTATGTCTAAACAACATCTCCACAGTGAAACCACCATGCCTGCACCTGAGAAGTGAATCTACACCACCATGCTTATTCCATGCACCAAATCATACACTTGTGGTCGAGGACCCAGAGATCATCTAATGCAAGCCCCTCAATCTCAGAGGAGGAACTAAGACCTAGGTTAGTTAGGTGATTCACCCAAGGCCCTGCCACTAATTGACTAGCACAGACCTAATTACAACCCAGGTATACCTTCCACTCACTGCATGATTGTTTTGGTTTTTTTTGTGGGAAATTTCCTGGTCTGTAAAAGCCTCCCATTAAGGAATGTCATGGGCTGGTTACAGGCATAAGGAGGTAACAAGTTTGTCCATTCAAGCCAGTTCTGATGTGAAGGATTTTTCTCAGTATTGCTCAACAATTTACTCAAGGCATTCACAAAATCTCTCCAACTCCTCAAGACCCAGAGAGCCGGCATAGCAGTAGGGAAAGCAGTAGGTTTTCAGACAGCAGTTCATTCATGCTTACGCCTGGTTAATGGAATGGTCGATAGTTGTTGGCTCAGGATGCCCATGTGTGGGAAAGGAGCCTACGCAGACACACCTCTTTCAAACAAACTGCATTCTTACCATCTGGGTTGCTCTCCACTGAAGTCACCACACAGCCTCTCAAATGAATTGCTCCCAGGGGATCTTCCCCCTAGAGGAGAGAGGAGTCCTTCGTTATGTTTCCTAAGTACAAAGTATGGATATACCTTATCTTGATGGCACAAAAGCCACACAGACTCACTCTGGTATCGATCAGGGCCCCCAAAATAGATAAGAGCAGAAGGAGATTAAAAGAAACCCTATCCAGATCCACCACCCCCCACCTCACCCAAGGAGGCAGGATGAAGACACAAGTCAATCTGAACACCATGTCTAGAGGAAAGTGGGAGGGGAGGTGGAAGGGCTTAATCATCACAACCCACAAGAGAAGAAGTGTGTTTTTCCAGAGCTCTTTGGTCCTGTGCAACTATCCCTCAAGAAAGGGAATCAAAGAGCCCTGCACTGCAAGCAGAGGCTGAGGACCCAACCCAGATGGAGTTGTCTTTATGCTTTAGAGTTGGCTCAGTTTACTGAGGAAAAACTCCCTTCTGAATACTCGGGAGTCTAAATTCCTAGATTTAAACGATGCTTTCATCCAAGTTGGCCTACAAGAGAAAGTATCAATTTTTTTTTTTTTTTTTGCATATTAAACCAAGAGCAAAATGTTCAACTGGTTGAGTCCCTCTGAAAATATTAGATAGGGGCAAACAAAAAAAGGTATGTTGAGTTGACTAACAGATGACAATTTAGTGATATTTTCTTCCATCCCTGAGCTTATGCTGGCCTCAAGCCTAAGATCTCAAATTTTTGCAACAAGAGAAAGTAGGAAAAGGTAGAGAAAGGAGGGAGAAAAAAGTGGGAGAGTGAAGAGAAAAAGTGTATATCAACAGAGCAGAAAAGGGAATAGAAAACTCTGTGAACAAATGCAGTGGAGGCTTCTAGGAGAATGGGTTTGACCACAGGATCTCACCCCAGCAGGGTCATAGTAGTGCAGATATGCAGGGTCTTCTCTCAGGATGAACTTCCTGACTTTCCAGTTTTTCCTCCTATGCCCCTATATCCAGGATCAACATGAGAAAAGAATGGTGAGTTCTTAGCATCACTCTATACACATACAATATAAATCTGAATTGAAAAAAAGACAAATAGTTCTAATACTAATTCTAGGAGAACCAGGCCCTAACCCAGATCTTTGTCAGAGAGAGAGCACTGTGGCCCATGAACAACTTGGATATTATTAAACTGTGGATTAAATTATTTCTAAGATGTCTTCCAACTTGGTATTACACAAGATAGTACTATGTATATACAATGTACGTTGTTAGGTAATGTGGCAGCTATAAAAAGATTTAAGATATGGCCCTACTCTTCATAGAGTTTATAGCTTAGGTATAAAAATTCAATAGCAAATATCTAAATCAAATAATGGGTATAGAAAATAATGGATTTCAAAAAATTTAAATGAGAGAGATGTGATTCTGGGTTTGTACGTCAAAGAAAGTCTTACAGAGACCTATGCTTATCCATGTGAGTGAGAAAGAGGTAGGTGAGAGACCACTGACAACAAAAAAGCAGTGGGAGTGCACAAGGCGTATTCAGATGTGATGAATAAAAGCAATCTGACTAGGAGGCAGGGATTAAAAGGAGCAGTTGAGTCAAAGTTGGAGAAGCAGAAAGAGACTTAGTAAAAATAAAAGGTGGGGTTGTCACCGAGGTGGAAGTGAAAAGATAAATGTGACAACAGACAGAACGGACCAGCTGGTTAGATTAAAGATAAGTCGGGGCAAGATAATAAGGTAAAAAGAGGTCATTGGGAAATCATTGCAATAATTCAGGCATAACATTATCAGGGGCTAACGCCAGGCAGCCACAAAGGAAATGAGAAAGAGTAGTTGTTGTGCCAGAGATGGTGAAAAAGAATAGGACTTGGCCTTTTCTAATAGAATTAAACATTGACACTGTTTAGATTGTGGGTTTTGAGGGCAGAGTTTGTATCTTGTTTGTCTTTGGTCCTCTAATTGCCCAGCACTGTGCTTGGCACATGGAAGCTGCTTCATATCTATTTTCAATTGCCTTGAATTATCCAGTTAATTCAATTAGCTTATAGCAGGTTTTCAAAATGTCACAGTAAACCTGAGTGTATGATCGCCAACAGAAATTCAAATGACTTAAATAACTCAGAAGCCAAAAATCATTAAATTAAAAGATACTTAGTTTCTATCTTGCCAATATAAAGAATATTGTTCTCTAACACACCACATATTAACAGCCACATAAATATATTTTCCAATATTTTTCATTGTGCTTGTATAGAAAGCAATAAAACATTTATAATTTTAGCAAACAGTGCCTCCCTTATAATTCCAGGTCAGAGACATTTAAAGGGAACTTTCAAGAATGAGTCTAAGTCATTTGATCAAATAGCTCCTCTCAAGTCTTTTGCTTGCTTGAAGATTGAATCCAGGAACCCTGTGGAGTCATAAGGGAGAATACAGACTATTTCTTTCTGCTATTTTGTGTTCAGAATGGCTTTTGCAAAGCATCAACCTCTAAAATTCTTATGAATTTCTGTGCTTTGCCTTAGCCAATGTTGCCTCTAAAATGTAGACCCTAAAGTTTCTGCCCATACCATTTCATCTTGACCTGCAGACATACAAAGCACATACCCTCTGAAATTACTGGGTGAATACCAAGTTCTCATGAGTCAACAGAGGAAGAAGGTTAACAGGAAGATGTGAAACCAGCCAACCCCAGACAACCACCTTATTTCCTTTCAGCCCTTACTAGCATTACAACGTGACATGCTGAAGAGTTTGGTGTTCGTAAGTGGGTGCCTGGCTGACCATCTCTCATCTAATGAGTATTTCCTGAGGGATTTTAAGGAATGCATGTATGCCTGGGGGTGCCAAGGATTGTTGCTGATCTGTCAAAGTCATCTACTTACATTTGATTGAATTAATTCTACAAATGTTTATTGCCTATTATAGGCCAAGAAGGATGCTGAACTTCACAGCAGATATGAGGGGAAAAAAAAGAATAACACATTGTCCTTCTTCATCAAAGAACCTACAATGGTTGAGAAACCAAATATTTTATGCATTGTGATAACAGAGTAAATTATATTTTAAAAGATTATATTGAATATAATCCAATCTCATTCATCCTCAAATTTGTTCCATTCCCCCAAGTAGAATTATTTCCTCTGGGCTCGGAGAAATGGAGAGGAAAAGGTGGGGAAGGGAGGGGCCAGACCTGCAGTTGGAATCAGTTACTTCACCACTGAAGGTGTGGAACACAGATGTCCTTTTTCTTTGTAAGCATTCCATGCAGGCTAACCTTGGCTAACTCCCAGCAGTAGACCCAGGGCTGCTTAGATTTTGTGGCCCTTAAAAAGGTAATTTTTAAAAATTCCCTCAGATGACTCTCATATGAACCAGGGTTATAAACCCCTGAACTAAGAGATTAGAAACATTAAAGAGGACTGTCAATTCATATAGAAGAGGTTTTTGTTCCCTTCTCCATCCCCTCTAAAAAAAGAGAGGAAAAAATATTGTTAAAGAAAAAAATTCCTGAAGGTGCATAGATTGCTTTCTTTTCATATTTAAAGGAGATTTATAAGGATGACTATTTGAATAGCAGTATTTGGTAATAGGCTATATTAGCCCTTGAGAAAAAAGCTAGCTCTGTGGTTCCCAGTCTTGACCACACACCCATAGGGAGCTATAAAATCCAGAGACTGGCTACATTGGCCTGGCATGCTCACAGGTCCCTAGAGGATTACAATGTGCACTAACTGGGCTGGCTAAGGCTAAATTAGAGCTATCAAAGGCCCAGTGAAGGAAGGTGAAGGAAAACATGGAAGCAAGCACACTTCTAGTCCCCGCTGTCTTTAACACACACTCAGGCACCCACTGTCCTCAGCCAGTTTTTGATGACCCAGGGTCTCCACTGAGCTGCTTTGCCCAGACATGACTCCAGTCCAGCTCAGTCTTTGCCCCTTCTCAGCCTTCATGGTCAGTTTTCTCAGGACTCCTCTTTAGGCTAGAGCTTGTCCGATCAACTAATTCAAGAAAAGGCATTAATGGCTGATAACAATATAGAATTATAGAAGGAATCAACAACATGAACAAATAATGAGATTCCCTCCCAAATTACTCTTGTCTTAATGGCCACCTCCCAGCACCTGTAATCAAAAAGCTGGGAACATAGGAATGTTTGGCAGGACTAAAGTGGAAGCCACCAGTGGGCAAACTCTGTCTATCTTCCCTGTGTAAGGCTGGCCTTGCTCCTATGATTTTCCTTTAATCTAGTGACTGGTCACCCTGTGATAAAAGTTATTAGAATATTCTGTATATTCTTTCTAAATCCTTGCTGTACTATTTCTTAGGACCCTAATATAAGGTAAGTTTACCACACTAATTCCCCACTTCCCCTAGTGAAACTCAAAATCCATTTCTATTTCTAATCTCAGTTAACCCAAATCCTTTTTTTTAAATGTAAATATATGCTCAGCATTGGTTCTCCCTTCTTTGCCCTGAAAGTTCAAGGTCCCATTATGAGTTAAGTCAAATCTCAGTCCCATGGGACTTACAGACAGTGCACAAAAATCTCCTTACAGCAACCAGATTCTCCCTGTTATATACTGCAGTGCCTTTAAGAAAGCTCACAGCACAACCAAAAGGGCAAAACTTTGGCTTCATACAGCAGCTTTCCCTTCTGTGACACCAGGTACTGGTATCAGTTTATTTCATCCTGAATATTCCTTTGTCTTCCTATTGCTTCTGCTTCTACTAGGTACTGGCCCTGGATTTCTCCCTCAGCCCCAATCCTCACATTCTCTTTCTTACTTCTTGGCATTTCATGTCTTGGCACCTGGCAACTAACTACAGCTCTTCAGCTCACCCTAGCCCTTGCCTTCCAGACTAACAGTAGCCTATACCTGTGGACATCTGGTAACTGTACATGACTTGCCCCCAGGACTGAGTCCTTGCTCTCCAACTGGATTTGACCTTTGCTGCTGCTCCTGTAGAGTTGGTCTCAGACATGCCCTAGATTTGGTCTCACTATATCCTACTCACAACCTGGAATGGCCCTTTTCTTGTTCTCAACAATATATGATGTTCCTTTTCTGGGTGTGGCTTATAACTGTTCCCTGGTTACTTTGTAGAGAAGAGGGATAAACAAACAGAAGTATTTTCATTATGAAACATCTCTGTCTTTTGCATAACACCTCTTAGCCAATTGAATTCATCCAGCTAATTAAAAGATCAATATTTTTCTTGAAACATCCCTTTTTCCCATGATATAGATAAAAGGGGAGTTTCCTTTTTTCAAGGTACATCTTCTGCCCTGACTGCCTCGGTTCTCCTGACCCAATATCACTTTGATCATCTATTTAGTTATCTGTCTACCCTTCACTCCATGGGTTTTATGTACTAGTTGACTATTGGTCAAATGAAATACCACTTGGTGGTTAGAAAGAAAAAGGACTGGATAAGAAGGAAAGGCTAGAAAAGGATAGTGGTGGTCACTCACCTGCTTCAGTAAACATCCCTGCTTGATAATGACTCCTCTGAATTCTTCTTTCAGAACTACATCATCATCACTGGAATTCTCTTCACAGAAGAACCCACTGTCTGGCTATTGGAAAACAAAATAGCAAGTTTATTTGACCAGTCTTTGGTGTATTGCTGCTTGTACACTGTTCACCAGCACATGACCCTATCTACTACTTCCAGGCACTAGGGCAGGCTCCTTCTCCTCCTGTGGTTTATAACCCAACTTGAACTTTAAGGGCTGTCCTTGGTTATCTCATTCCTCCTCCCATTTTATCTTGTTTCTAGATGCTCTTCCTCTCTAGTTTCCACTCATGTGATCTTGTTGATATCAATTCATTTTCTTGGGTTCCCCAAGCTATGCAAGTTAGAGTACACAAAACATAGAGTTTATTCTTTTTCTAACTGAATTTATTGGGGGGTGACATTGGTTATTAAAATTATATAGGTTTCAAGTGTACAATTCTATAATACATCATCTATATATTGTATTGTGTGTTCATCTGAGTTTTTCTTGTATTATCATTACTTATTAATTATTGTATTATTTTCTATATGAACAACTGTAAACTTATGTTTGCCTACCTTGTATTTTAAGCCTAACTCAGCACATTTCTTCCTTCAAAGCCTTTCTTCTCTTGGGACCTCATGGCCACATCCTTGAAAGTACAGTTGACTAACTTATAATACACTGGGCAACAAGATCTCCATAATGACCTCTGCCACTCAGCCCTTTCTACTTTGAGAAGACCAAGAGCTGGTGCTCAGCCTCATCCTTTGAGGTCAGCAGGGAACTGGGACTTGCTCAGCTATAAGCAAGCAATGAATCATATAGAGGAAGAGGAGCCACTGTGTTGGGTATTTTTAGTATCCCACATTTAAATGGCTATAAACAACCAAATTAAAGGTCTAAAAATATGTACACTGACAGCGGAAGTTCCTCCAAAGTGAAATGAAGCTTTCTCTGGGGCATTCACATCATTTCTGTAAAGGGCTCTTAAGTAACTTCCTAACTTCTGTGCTCTGATCCCAAATAGAAATAAAACTACCAAAATCCCCCTAGAAATCCATTGTTGCAGGATTTCTCACATGGCCCAAGATTAGGTTCCTGTTGTGTAATATAGTATTTCCCGATCTGTGGTAAGCATACCATATGCCCATGTACACAGATGATTGCAGAAGGGAATGTGGATACACACATTTTGTACTAAGTTGTATATTTCCATGTATATTTAGAAAAATACAATTAGCATATTGTGATTTTAAGGATCTCCCTCAGGAAAGGAAGCTCCATGAGGACTGCAATTTTTATTCTTTTAAACTGCTGTTATCTCCTTTGTCTAGGGGAGTGTTCAGCATGTATTACGGCCAAATCAGTTTTTGAAAATGAATTTTTGCTTAGAATAAGAATAGACATAATAAAGTTTTAAAAGTCCTTTTAAAGAAAACCATTCAAGTAAACAATATTTTCCTTTAAACTGAACCACTTGGATGTGGCAGCCATTGGGTTGGGAGCAGCTCTCAATGTGCTGTAGAGATCTGGGCCTCTCTTTCACATATGTGGATATAAGTTGAAATCAGCCTAGAATCTTCCCAGAGCAATCTCCATTACAGGAAGAGTAGCTAGGTAGCTTTTCTTACTTACAAAGTAGTAGAAGGCATCAGGGTTGTCCAGGAAAGGGTTTTCAGCAGTACCATCCACTGCATTCTTGGACAGGTCTCCTGCAGGCTGCAGGTACCCTTCATTGAGCAGTGAGGAGGCGATCATGAGCCCTTCCTGGCGATTCCGAACAGACTGGTTGGAAATCAGCCAGTCAATGACACAGTTACCTGGATAGGACCATCAGAGGGAAGGTTAAGTCTCCTAATCAAAGAACAAATACTGACAGTCACCTCTGGAAAGCTCCAGAGCACCTTCATGTCTCATTTGTCTCTTTCCTGTTATTCCAAGAAGGAAAAACAAAATCAGTGGGATAGATACCTGGAAACAGACTTCTGCCCAAGATGGAGACGTAGGTAGATATATTTTGCCTCCTCACACAACCAAAAGGACAACAAATTTTAAAACAAAAAATAACCAGAACTGCCAGAAAATCAAACTGTATGGAAGTCTGACAACTAAGGAGTTAAAGAAGAAATGTTCATCCAGATCAGTAGGAGGGGTGGAGGCAGGCCACAGGGGTGGAGAGGCCAAGTGGCAAGGCAGAGCCTAGAGGACCAGGTGGATGAGGCCCTGGCTGGCGAACCAGGCAGTTCCACATTTACGTGGGGATAAACCACGAAGAACAGCTGGGGAGCAAGATAGTCAGCGCAACCCAGGATTCCAGTGAAGGAGAAGAAAGCCTCAAACCTCGGGTGGTAAAAACCTGTGGGAGCTAAGGCAGTGGGAGAAACTCTCAGCCTCACAGGAGAATCCATTGGAGAGAGGCACAAGGTCCTAGAACATACACAAACCCACCCACCCAGAAATCAACACTAGAAGGACCCAATTTGCTTGTGGGTAGCAGGGGAAGTGACTGAAAGCCAGCTGAGAGCTGAGCAAGCAGCATTGTTCCCTCTCCGATGCCTCCCCCACATACAGCATCACAACTCAGCAACCTGGGTTGCCCCGCCCTAACGAATAATACCTAAGGGTCCACCTGTCCCAACCTAAAAGGTGTGCTGAGAAAAAGAAATATGGCCCAAGTGAAAGAACAGATCAAAACTCCAAAAATAGAACTAAGCAATGAACAGATAGCCAATCTATCAGATGCACAGTTCAAAACACTGGTAATCAGAATGCTCACTGAATTGGTTGAGTATGGTCACACAATGAAGGAAAAAGTAAAGGCTATACAAAGTAAAATAAAGAAAAATATACAGGGAACCAACAGTAAAGGCAAGGAAACCAGTATTCAAACCAATGACTGGGAACAGAAGGAAGAAATAAACATTCAACCAGAACCAAATGAAGAAACAAAAATTCAAAAAAAATGAGGAGAGGCTTAGGAACCTCTGGGACAACTTTAAATGTTCCAACATCTGAAACATAGGGGTGCCAGAAGGAGAAGAGGAAGAGCAAGAAATTGAAAACTTATTTGAAAAAATAATGAAGGAGAACTTCCTCAATCTGGCCAAGGAAATAGACTTCCAGAAAGTCCAGGAAGCTCAGAAACTCCCAAAGAAATTGGACCCAAGGAAGCACACACCAAAGTACATCATAAGTATATTACCCAAGATGAAAGATAGAGAGAGAATCTTCAAAGCAGCAAGAGAAAAGGAGACAGTTCCCTACAAAGGAGTTCCTATTAAGACTATCAGCTGATTTCTCAAAAGAAACCTTGCAGGCAAGAAGGAGCTGGCAAGAAGTTTTCAAAGTCATGAAAAGCAAGAACTTATATCCAAGATTACTCTATCCAGCAAAACTATCACTTAGAGTGGAAGGACAGATAAAGTGCTTCCCAGATAAGGTAAAGTTAAAGGAGCTTGTCAACACCAAGCCCTTATTATATGAAATGTTAAAGGCACTTATCTAAGAAAAAGAAGAAGATCAAAACTATGAACAGTAAAATGACAATAAACTCGCAACTATAGAAACTGAACTTAAAAACAAAAACAAACTAAACAAACAACTAGAACAGAAACAGAATCATAGAAATGGAGATCAGAGGGGAGGTGGAGGGGGAGGAATGGGGGAAAAGGTACAGGGAATAGGCAGCATAAATAGTAGGTACAAAACAGACAGGGGGAGGTTAAGAATAGTATAGGAAATGGAGAGGGCAAAGAACTCATACATACGACCCATGGACATGAACAAAGGTGGGGGGAAATGCTGGAGGAGGGACAGTGGAGGTGGGAGGGGAATAAAAAGGAGAAAAAAATGGGTCAACTGTAATAACATAATCAATAAAATATATATTTTAAAAAAAGACACCTGGAAACAAAGGAACTGTGTAACGACTTTTTTCCCCCTAAATCTACATGTTCTTCAAGAAGCAATGTGTCATCAAAGAAACAGTTTTTACTAACCCATTCATTTAGACTATTAACAAACATTTATTGTGCACCTAGTGGGTGCTAAGTACTGTGATGGGTTTTGAGGAGACCCACCTGAGGAATCTAGAATGGAGAGATAGGTGATAAGTAATTGTAACAGCTGCCATGCTGTGGGTCAATACAGTGGAGCTACTGGGCCAAATCTGCAGGAAGGTTTGGAAGGGGTGGGTAGGGGAAAGGGATGGCGCATGCACTGTTGGGAAAAACTTAGGAGAGGAAGTGACATTGGGCCAAGGCTTTGAAATCAGTATATGTTGACACAAAAGGAGCAGGGGCAGAGAGGAGCCAGCAGAGGCCCAGAGAACAGCAGGGTCAACAGACTCACACAAGCATGAAGCAGCAACGCTGGGGATATAGGGAAGGAGTTGATGGAGAAAAGGGGAAGGAGACAATGGAGAGAGGAAGCCACAGAGTGAGGGGAGAGCTTTGAAGGCACATTGAATAATTTGGCAGTGAGGAGCCATTGCGAGTTTCTAAGCAGGTAATAACTTGGTCAGATGTGTGTGTCCTAAATTAAAATCTGATGATAACATTTACACTGAGTGTCACACTATTTTTGCAGGGTAGCAGGGACCTTGAGGAGTCATTCAATCAACCTTCTACCTCATGAGAGGATTGCAAAGAGAATAAAATGAATTTAACTCATCAACTGGGTTATTAGCAGGCTACAATGAAGCTTTGAATTAAAAAGGACATGATCTTTACAAATGTAGCCAACCAGGGAGCCACGACCACAGGCAGTGGGAGCTGAGTCCTCCAACAGAGAGCAGTAGTATATGCCATCCTTGAAACAGGAATAAGAGAAGTCGGTTAGTGAGCCTTCTGTGAATTTTATGTATGAAAGGCTTTTGTCTACTTTTTTTCCCTCTAGAGGAATAAGCTAATTAATACTGAATTTCTGCTTTTAATTTTCACTGAAACCCTGTAAGAGGTAAGGCAATAATTGCAGGCCACATTTCACAGATAAGAATATTAAGGCTGAGAGAGTTTAAGTGACCTTAGGCCTGAGTTACACCAGCATTGGGTCTTCACTGAAGTGTTCTAACCCCAGATTCCATACTTGTTCAGCTAGGCATGCAGAAGCTTGAAAGACTAATTCAGTTTACTCTCCCTACCACCTGACATTCAAGGCTGTCCATCACATGTGAGGAGTGCCTGGGTCCCAGTCTCTGCTATAGATTTGGGTCTCCACTGAGACCACCTGACTCCTACTTGAAGGATTCACCCCAACTGAGTTTCTGGAACCCATCCTGACCTTCAATGGGGGGTACTTAGGAAGTTCTAGCCAGGGGTGTCTAAACTTGGCGTCTGTGGGCCACCACACTGGAAGAAGAAGATTTGTCTTGCACCGCACATTAAATACACAAACTCTAATGAAAACTGATGATGAGCAAAAAAAAAGGTTTTAAGTAAATTTACAATTTTGTCTTGGGCTGTGTTCATAGCCATCCTGGGCTCCATACGGCCTGCAGGCCATGGGTTGGAAACCCCTGTATCTAGCCCAACACTATGGGACTCAGGAACAGGTCACACAGGAAATAAGTCTGGCCTGGACCTTGTGCCTAGATCCACATCAATAACCCCATCCCTGCTCCCTGCCCTGTTCCCTTTTTCCTAGGCTCTGCTAGACCTCAGTCCTGCTAGAGTTAGGGCCCTGCTCTTGTCAGTTTCCCTTACCACTACCCAGGCTTGATATCTTGATCACAAATCCTAGCCCTGTCTTTTTTTTCATGTTAATGGACTACTGCCTTCACTCCAGGAGGCTGAATTCCCATGGGATACTACCCTGTTACCTGAGATCGCACCATCTAACTCTCTATCTTCCTGACCTTGACCTGGACCATATTCATGCATTATCTGTTGACTGGATTCTACATCTGTTGTCTGTTCTCAGAGTTTTCCTCCCTTGACTGCTCTATCATAAGAAAGCCATGCCTGCCATCAGACAAACATGGGCCCAATCTATAAGTCCCATCTTGCCCCCTAATGAACCATCAGCACTACCAGAGTGGTTGTTTTCTTTTACGAATGCATATTCTTCATATTTTTGCCCCATAACTTTGAACCACCATCCTCTGCTCAGCCATCTCATCAGAATTTCTTTCCACAAATACTGAAATTCTATCCAGCTTTAGAGGTCAAACTTAAGTACCATTTTCTATTCATCCCAGCAACCCTCTGAACTCTTTGTTTTTCCTGAACTCACAAAATTGATTGTCTTTTCAGACTTGTGATCTCTTTAGTGTAAACCACATTGAGAGCTTGCACAATATAGTTAGTGTGTACCAGCCGCTGTTTTAAACACATTACAGCAAATTGATAAAGTAAATGTTTATTACTATTTTATAAACAAGGAAAGTGAAGCACAAAGAGGCTAAGTTATTGATTGGCCTGAGGTTTCATGGCAAGTTGCAGAGCCAGGATTTGAACAAAGGCAGTCTGTCTCCAAAAACATGTTCTTAACCACTACACCATCTACCTAAACATACAACATTTAATGCCTGACCCTATGCAGCCTCAGACATCCCTAATATTGTTAGGTAAATCTTATATTATATTACCTCCTGTTTATCATTCTACTTCCTGTTTATCATTTTATTCAGCTCTGTGTCTATTTTAACACTATCATTTATTGGGAGGGAAAAAAATAACACTTTGATTGATAGAGCTGGAATTTCCAAAACTACGTCTTGGACAACAAAGTTCCTTTCTCCCCTTCTTTGCGTTTCCACACTAGGGAAGTACAAGCCCCGTGTTCACCAGTCTTCGTCCTGTGATCCACCCAGCATGCCCCACACAACCCCACCCCGTGCATAAGGCTGAGCGGGAGGGAGCTACATATATCCTTCCCCAGCTGCCCCACTTGCGAAGCCTTTTTTACCTGTGAAGCAGTGATTAAAAATCTTCTTGTCCTTCTCTAGGTTTAGTTCTTTTATTCCTTTTTCTGTGTCTTTCATGGACAAATACAGAGCACTGCAGAGAGATGAGAACAGACAGATGAGTGGGAGCGTTTTGGGATGGCAAGTCCTCTCAGGGCGTCCACCTTGGAGACACTGGTGGTGAGCAGAAGCTCCTCCCCTCCCCAGGGGGCCCCAGCCTTAATCTCCCCACTAGATCACAAGTAGATAAAGGGCAGAGTGGATACTTAAATAACATTGGGGCCTGCACAACATTCGACAAAACATACTAGGAAGGTAATAATTATTTCTTAAATTCATTAAGCTCCTTTGTTGATTTAACTCCTAATGCCTGAGAAAGAGAGTTGCTCTCAATTAGGTGGCAAAGATTAAAGGTTTTCAGGTCCAGTTTTCTGTACATTTTCTATCTTTAAGTTCCCCCAATTCCCATGTTCCAGGTCTTTAAGTTTCCTTCAAGAGAACATCTAGAGTAGACATTAACCTCCAAGAAAGTGAATGTTTTAACTAAGCCTATCTCTTATTCTAAAAATTATGAGACAAGGCATAATAGTGAGAAGTTCCCATTTTTGTCCTTGAAGTAATAAACTGAAGATATCCTGATCAGAGAAACTGAAAGCAACCACACAGAAAGGCACTTTCTTGTGTCATGTGGTTCCAGGTAGCACAAACATCATTCCCACTTAACTCTGACAGCCATGGCCAGAAATGTGGTCACTTGACCACCCCAGCCAGCAGCTGCAGCTAAACTAGGCACATGCTCTTGGGTCTTTGCCAAAGAGCTTTCCTGGTGAGAGAAGGTGCTCAGTCTCAACAAAGTCGATGTGCAAACTTCATCAAACTCCAGTGACATGCAAGTCTTGTGTTAGATTGTAAAAAGGGTTTTTCTTCAGTCCCTCTCAGGGTCTCTTTGTGTAAACAGAACTGTTGTTGAAAATTTTTAGCACCCAACATAGAATTCTTTCTGACTAGGCTCCTATTTCAGGTTATACTTGACATAAATGCAAAACTATCAGGAAGCAATGAGAATTTCAGGAAAAAAAAAGGACTGGCGTGATAGAAGGTATGAAATGTGCAGGAAGAAAGGAAGGAACCCTGTTCCCAATCCCTGGCAGGGCCTGAATCTACCTGTGAACCTCTAACAACATTTAGACAATAACCATCACCTTCAATTCCAAGCCAGACAATGTCAGATGACATTAAACTAGGTCAGGGCACAAATGGCTTCCAGCCAAAATGGGTGTTTACTTTGGCTGGTCCTTGCTGACAGTGGGAACGTGTGCACTTGAACTTGAAACCTCTCATGCTTTGATGCATAGCCCCTTTTTTTCCCTCCCTTCCTAGAGATCCTGAAGCTTTCTTTCAAGGCTAGCTTATTATGGCTACTTCATAAATGCAATAAGTTCTACCTCTCTGTCTCTCTTTGGCTATCTGGCTCTCTTTCTGTCTCTGCCAAGGTTATCCAAAATGAAGAATGTATACTCCATTAGCTTTCTCTCCTCAGTTGCTAGGCCTTGGAGAAGCCATGATCCCTCCTTCAGATCCAGGTAAACATCTTAGTACACCAAGAGCCAGTATGCACCAGGAAGAGTGAATAAAGCATTCAGAGGTGACCAAAGCAAGCCTTGGAACAGGTCCTGTTGTGAGAGTTCTTCAAAGGGGAAAAAGGGAAGGGGTGGAAGGAAGCAAACACAAAAAATCACCCTAAGTCAATGGTTTCTGGCAGTCGAATAGATCTCCTGGTGGATTTCCTTGCAAACTTCTGGCCTCCTTCAATACACTTAATGGCCTTCCTGATGTCCCGAACCCAGCCATCTCTCTCTTCCAGGAAGGCTGCCTGGAAGAAGTGGTCTTGCTGTTTGGTCGTAGTGATCTTAAACACAAACTAAAAATCAAAACATATCCCATTAGGAATAATTATTTACAAGGGGCCAAGGCCCCTCATGAAGTACAACAAGTGAGTCAACCCTATTCTGGAAGTATTTGGCCGAGAGAGACCCAAATATCCAGGGTGGAATGGGTGGTGGTGAGGGGGACTAACCCAGGGGGGACCATTCATATTGTAGGCCAAGCACAGGTCCAAAGGTCAGTGTCTGACAAAACATTCACTGTGGCTAGCAATGTCAGCTCACCATCCTTTTGCCGAAGTCCTGACAAGGGCTAGTCAGAGTGCTTCCTTTCAGGGGAATCATTCCTTTGGGGCTGCTGTCACTTTTTTTCTTATAGAATTCAATTCCATCTTCTAACAATACAACCCACATGGGTTTCCAGGTGTTGAACACACTCCCCTGTAATGACAAAAGAAAAGAGGCATGTAACAATGTTTTCTAAAACTATTCTATACAGAGTGCAGGACTTGGTAAATAGCTTAGTATTGGTCAGTGTGAATGCAGGTGACCCACATTTGTGTGTGACCAAGGTGCTAGGAAAGCAGCCTTCAAGAGAGGAGGGACTGCCATTCTTCTGGAACTTAAAAAAAAATTAAGATAAACTGTGTGCACATCTATAATCAGCTGATAAGCCTCTCATGGATCATTAGCAAGGAAATATTGTATGGATCTCTACTCTTCTTGGCTTTCTGGAGGCTATTTTCTGCTCCCAGCCCTGCTGATTGTGTTCAGTTCAACTCGGGGATGGGAAATATATTCTATTTCAAGTGCTAACTCCACTGAATAATAGTCAGTGCCTGACTGGACTCATTGGAATAGTGGCATGATCCAAAAGCTATGTTTTTCACAGGTGTGGAGGCCGTAAATGGTGACATGCTAGCTGCAGTTACGTCCATCCTGTGGCCTATTCAGCTTTTATCTGAATGTGAATGTCAAAAAGAAATTCAGACAGCAGGCTTGCATGCAGGATGGCTATATTGTATGAAAATCCCTTGCAAAATGGTCTGGAAAGCCAGAGTACTGCTGTTCATGTCAATGTAGCTTTTGGGGAAATCCTTACTGAAAAGTTTTCACTTTGGGTCAATGTCAACTGCCCCTGTAGCAATAAACGAACCATTCTGGCTTGCTCAAGGAAGTCTCCCTTTCTTGTCTATATTTTGGGAGAGTTTTGGAAAAGGAAGAAGATAGGCTTCTTTGTCTCTCATCCTTGGACCCAGGAGAGGCTTGGACCCTGTCGTGACTACCACAGAATAGAATTATCATCCAGTTTGCAGCAGATCCTGCTGCTTATCTTAAAGTACAAAAAAACCTCTATATAGAGGTCAAGTTGCCCCAAAAGGAAGTCTATTTATGCAAAAAGTGTAAATACTTGTGGGACTATCACTTGTCCAAGTGTTTCCTTTATTTTAGTTACTAAAAAATTTTTTTAAAATTAAAACGCTATCTCTTTTCTGCACAGGCAGAATGACTATCCATACTAACATTAGACTATATTCCATTCTTGAAAATGGGCAAGGTTGGACACTATTCCAACACATGAAATAAATTCAGTTAAATACCTTTCTGTTTTACATCTGTCTGAGAGAAACTCATATCCAGAATATAAAGAGTTCCCACAAGTCAATAAGAAAAATACAAACCATCTATTTTTAAAATGGGCAAAAGACTGAAAGAGACATGTCACTAAAGAAGTTATCCAAAAAGCCTCTGAAAAAGTGTTAAAATAATTATGCATCAGGCAAATGCAAATTAAAACTATAGCGAGATATTCTGCACACCCATTAGAATATCTAAAATTTTAAAAGATTGAGAAGAGCAAGAGTTGGCAAGGATGGTAACTGAAATTCCCATACGTGGCAAGCAGAAGTGCAAAATGGCACATCAAATTGGAAAAACTGTGCAGAATGTCCTAATTCTTAGAAGATATATGTTGAAATGTTTAGGGGTGAGGTAGTATGATGTCCGCAACTTATTCTCATAAAATGTGTGTGTATGTTTATGGAGAATATAGAGATGTGGCGAGATAAAGCAAATGTGGCCCTATGTTAGCAATTGATAAATCTACGTAAAGAGTATACAGGTAGTCAAGTATTTTTCTCATTTTTCCATGTGTTTGAAATTTTTCAAATATATTTGGGGAAATTAATAAATGAACAACACATGACACTATAATATATCAAAATTAGGGATATACTTTAAGGGAAACATAGAGACAAGTCTGTTTAATAAAGTAATTAAAATAACTGAGAATAGTAAGAGCTATATTCACAGAGATAGGAGTAAAAAGTTGGAATAAATGACTGCTAAATGCCGTTCAAGTCTAAAATGTTATATTCTACCTCAGGCCTATCAAAGATTAATAACTGCCACAGTCCCTCAGGGCTCTTCACCCTGGAATTGGGTACATTGGGAGAGGTTAGCCAGTACTGAATTACTTGTGTAGGCAATTAAAGTATAGCTACTCCTAATTCAAATGTAGCCTTAGGCGTCTGTCAGAGGAGGATGTGCCATTTGGGACTCAGGGTCATTATCATGGGGAAGGCTGATCCTCTGTAAAACAAGAGAAGTGAGAGCTGCCCCATAAAGCACAAACTTTCTTCCAGACTTGGTAGGGGTTAGTTAGGTTAGGATGGCGGGACTATGTGTGATCTCTCCTCTCAGCCATTATGACAGCCACCAGATTCTCACTGCAGTAACCTGACAGCACCTCCTCTCTATTACCCCTGTCGTTACCCCTATAGTTATCCTTTTTGTCCCTAATCTTCGTGACACTCACCCAAGAGCAAACCTGGAAGTGTGATCCTGCAATGTCTAGGGCACATTATACCTGACCAGTAAATGTGGAACTGGAACTAGGATCCAGGTTTTTTGAGTCCCAATTTTATGCTATTTCCACTTCCCCTCAGATGCCATCTTTATTTTGGTTCTCATGTAGCTTTGAGTATCTAAATCATTTTGGGGGGAGCACTTAGCTAGCTATACTTATAACCTCATAAAATCATATGATTATTATTTTATATAATCATAGAATGTTTTAATGATATATGTAGCACACGTCTGTTTTTCCCATTATAGATGAACACTTGTACAATTTATTACTTGTTGCTTTAGGTAAATAAATACATTTTTTAAAAAAATTAAATAAATAAATAAATAATAAAGTTTCCCAGTAAATAACTGTTGATCATCATGGGACTGGTATAGCTTAACGCATAAGAGTCTGACGCTGCATAACACCAAAAAGGAGAAATCTTAAAGGACAACATATTTTACTATACAAAAAATTGAACTTCTCTACATTAATAAAACCCCGCAAAATAAAATATGGATATTTGTAGTATATTATCATATAATTAAAAGTTAATATCTTTAACATGTTTTTAAAAATTCTTTAGAATCAGCATAAAATTTTTTACATGGCAAACAATATAAACAGGCCATTCTCAAAAGAAAAATACTCAGGCTCAATAGACATAAAAATGTACTGTTTCAATAGTCTCCAAAGAAACAAAAATAAGATATAATTCTTTGATAAAATTTTTAAAAAGATTTATAAAATACATTGGTGAAGATTTGGGGAAATAGCCATAAAAAAAAAAGGAGATTTATGAGTCAGCAGTTTGATGTTGGCTGTCAAAACCCCCTGAAGTCATTATCAGCTATACAGAAGCATAAGATCTAAAGTGAGGGAAGTAATTTTCTGACTTTAACTGGAGCATAAACGGAGCAGTGAGTGACTGAGGGCCCTGGAGCTGATGGCCCAGGCTCGCATGCTGGCTCTGCCACATTCTAGCAATGTGACCTTAAACAAGTTCTTACACCTCATTTTCTACATCTGGAAAATGGGAACAATGCTCCTACCTATTTTTCGAAGTTATTGGGAAATTAAGTAAAATAACCCATGTAAATTGCTTGTGGCAGTATCTAGAAAATAGTAAGCACTCCGTAAGTGCTACTAATTTCTTGTAATTCTATGCCTCTCACATGTACCTAGAGAATGAACTTGAGTTCAGGAAATCTCAGAGCTGCAGATAAACCAGAGCCGGTTCAAAAAAGTGACATGATGGCATCTCTTCTGGGAAATTGTTGAAGAAATGGCCAGGGTTTAGCCCAAAAAGGAAAAGGCAGCGTAGTTGGGAACTGTCTTCAAAGGTATCACACATTGTCACAAAGGTATCAAATGTTGTGAAGTTTTCAGAAAGAAAAAAAAAAGTTTGCTGCATAACTTAAGAGAGAAAGTTAAATTAGTGGGTACCCTGACACAAGAGGCATGCAACATGCTTGTTACGGAATAGCAAAAGAAGGGCAGGCCTCAGGTGGGAAGTTCAAGTTATTTCTATACTTAATATTCCTTTTAACCCTCAGATTCTACACATCTATTCCAAAGAGTCTGTTGTCCCTACTATCTCTATGGATATGTTCAATTTCAAGATATCCCTGCCAACTTTTGGGTCTTTCCTACAAGCCAAAAGTAAATAAGTTTTACAAACATATTTAACGTAATCATCTAAAAGCGAATACCCACTGGAAATATTTTTTATCCTCACCCAAGAACATGCTTATTGATTTTAGAAGGAAGGGTAGGGAGGGAGAAAGAGAGGGAAAGAAACAGCAATGTGAGAGAGAAGTAGAGATTGGTTGCCCTTCTTACACACCCATGTGGGAACCGAACCCAAAACCTAGGCATGCGCTCTGACCAGGAATCAAACTGGCGACCTTCTGGTGTGGTTTATGGAAGGATGCCCAACCATCTGAGCCACACTGGTCAAGACTTCATTGGAAATTTTTAATACATTAAAATTAACTATAATATGGACCTCTGATTCCTTGGTTTCTATGATTTAAAAGAGTTTCTTTCCTTGAGACACGTTCATTCAACAAATAACGATAAAGAGACTCCTATGCTTCAGACACTGGCCTGCGTGTTGGGGTGAGTAAGACACAGTTTCTGCCCTTAAAAGTTCACCATCTAACAGGGGAGAGGGTGACCTTGCTTGATGACTCCAGTTCAATGTGAAAAATGCATAAACTGGGGCGTGACCTCTCGTGTGTGAACAGCTTTGCTGAGAGAAGTCACAACTCACTGCTGGGTGTTGGGGCAACTTTATTTTGGTGTTTATGACCCCTCCCAAGTCACTTCCCACAGAGTGAGGACACCTCCTTTAACTTCTCCTTTCCCTCAAACTTCTCTTTTCATATATTGACTTATAGCTAGAACTCAATGGAAAATTATGTTATGGTCAAAACCATGTATTTAACTAAAGCAGAACTGTGAGTTAGTATGGTCTCGTATCTCACACTCATGGGACATGTTATTTTAAGTTGGTGTTGCATTAAATTACATCTTTATTTCTGATGCATCATAAACTTTATCTTCTGGTTTTCCAGTCTGATCCATG